TGTATTACCAATGTGCCAATCACCTGCAGTCGTGACAAGCTCTAGACTGACCTTTTTTGAAAGAATGTTTGATGGCATATTTTGAGAGGGAAGAGGCTGACTTTATGAAATTTGTCAAAACGGTTCAGTAAATATTCCGCTATAACAACAGGAAAAGCGCAGCAGATACGAAATACTATCCACTTCAGATATGTAAATTTGCTGACTTTTCACCTGGTCCTTTTGTCTTTGCAGTTTTGTACTCTGCAATAATTAGTTGATGGAAGCTGTTTCAGTTAATAAATACGCTGAATAATCTGGAGCACCACGAATGCGGAATTGTTTAGAAAAGGCACGATTTTCATAAGAAACGCACCTTTCCAATTGATCAAATTTGACCGTTCTAAACACATTTTGTTGCGAAACAACCAGTCATTGGGATTGCCAACCCGCCCACACATATGTACGCCAAAATCAACTTGATCTTTATGTTTTTGGGAATCTCCTCCGCTAATGCGGTATATAACGTTGCCTGAACCTTTAGTCATCCCAAATCAACGTTTTTGCACTGCTTTCTTCTAAAATTTATATGACTAACTTTGTTCTGCTTATACCGTAATTACGTTTGTTCATATAGATGCAAGGGTAGCAATTTTTATAATTGCAAAATTCAAGTATGTTCATTTGGCGCAGACTTTCGTTTACCGCTGTAAGAGCACTGTTCGCTTCCCACTTGTAAGGAATTTTTTTTATTGTTCATCAGCCAAATGATGAAAGGCTTATTTGAGCAATCAAACATTTGCAGAAGCGACATTCATAAATATGCTATAGTTTCATCACTTCTCCTCAAATTTATTTGCTACTCAAAAAAGAAAAAAAAATAAGGGCGACAAAGCAACAGCTCGAATGCATGAGTGTGATTACTAAATTTGTTCAACTGCTCAAACTTCCCTAAGCTCACTAACAATGACGATATCTTGGGTTGCCTTTTTGAGGTGATGGGATTTGCTTTTGGTTTTTATCAAGATACAATACCCTGATTGGCCGAAGACGTTTTTTGCATCAGTCAATCTTGAGACGAGAAATTATTCTTATTTTCTCCAAATTCTCTGTGTTTAATATATAAAAAATCTTTTGCAAATATCAAGATTCCAATAGCCCGCCGAATCTGATTTGTACTCACAGATCCGAACAGAGAAATGAGAGCAAATACTGATTGGTTGGCAAATACCTTGTGATCTATAGCATATCATTAGCAGCATAGACTGCATTATCAATAAAGAAGTATAAGACAATAGTTAAGTAAAGAGGTTTTGTAATAACAGTGACTGATGCAAAAAGGGATATATT